TGCGAATAATGCACTCCTAGATCAGTTACGGATGTGAGTTTGGGCAAAACATTCCTGTTGAGAGTCAGATCTATTTTGGAAGACGTGTCTCCAAAACACATCCAGCCACATTTCTCAGTATTAAGTTCTAGGTTCCATCGTTTACACTAGACATCTACAGTATTGAGTTTCAATATCCAATATCCAATATTTTTTCACGAGCTAGTGTAAACCAATTTGATTTCTTCGCGCTCGATTCTTGTTCTTGAATAAAATTTCAGAACTGAGTAAGATAGAGATGGATTTAGTTTGTTAATTGGTAGTGAAGATTATGAGAGAGGACCGAGGTGTAATCAAGGGAGAGGAATAGGCGAGATAGATTAATTGAGTGATCTGAGGAGATGGCAATGGTAACAACTAGCAGGTCTCAAGACATGCATCAGTCACAGCTTGTCCAAGAGGGAGATGATAGTCCGTATGTGAGTAGGGGATTATCAAGTTTCTTCTTAAAACAGTCCATTGAGGGGGCTGTGGTTACCTCGGCTAGGAGAGCATTCCAAGTTGCGACTACTCGCAATGAGAAAAAGTGTGCACGAATCTGAGTATTCGCTCTTTGATGTGAAATCTTTCGAGGATTGCCTCGAGGGGAGTGATGGTGATGCATCGGTAAGATGCTCACATTGGGATGGTTTGGCGTGTTTAATATGGTGTACGCCATAATCAGATCACCTCTGATTCTCCTGTAGCTCAGTGGAAATAATCCCAAGAGTTGGAGTCTATCGTCGAAGGGTTTATTTTCCAACCCTATCACGCATTTCGTTGCTCGTCTCTGCACTCGATCCAAGAGATTTATGTCTCTTTTAAGCAGAGGGGGTGAGATGACGTTATGAAACTCCAAGCGTGGGCGCGCGTAGGTCTTAAACAGGGTTAAAAATAATTTCGTGCTGATAGCACCAAGCTGTCTTCGCATAAAGTGAAGAGTCGCATTTGCCTTGGCTGCGTCCCCTACATAGTTTGGACTGGTGTGGAGGCTTTCTGTGGTTATTAGATCGAGATCGCGCTCTGAGGAGACATTAGGGAGCGGACTTCCGTTGAGGGTATAGGTCGTTTGCGTCATGTGAGGCAGGAAATGCATGACGTGGCACTTCGGTTGGTTGAGTTTTAAACCGCTTTTCACTGCCCATTTCTCAATAGATGTAAGGTCCTTTTGAAGCTCAGTCGAATCCTCTTCGCTTCTAATGGACCTCCAGATCTTCGCATCGTCTGCGTAGATCAATGCCGGTGAGCTGACTGAGCCTAGCGGGTCGTTATTAAATATCAGGAAGAGGAGTCAGCCTAGGATGGTCCCCTGTGAAACTCCCGATGTGGATACTCACCAACCCGCGTGCACTCTGTTTACCTTTGTGAGAAACTTTCTATTCTCAAAGTAGTTTCTGGGCCAAGATAGGAGTGGGTCAGTGAAGCTCATTTCCACAACCTTTTCGATTGGGCGTGCGTGGGGCACTGTGTCAAAGGCCTTCGCGAAGTCGAGGAATAATACGTGTACCGATATTTTACGGTCTAAACAGGATGTCCAAATGTCCCTTGCGATGAGGAGATTAGATGCACACTACCTGCCTTTCCGAAACCCCTGTTGAGCATAATGGAGTATTTTATTCTTTTCCATGTACTCCCTAATTTGTTCGTCCACTAGCCCTTCCATAACTTTTGATAATATTGGTAGTAGTGCAACTGGTCTGTAACAGGCTGGGTCCTTTCTATCTCCTCCTTTGAAGATTGGAGAGAGAGTAGCTTGCTTTCATTCAGCTGTGAATTGGTGTGACTCCAGTGAATGCCTGAACAGGTTGCATAATAGTGAACAGAGGACTTCAGCACATTGTTGCGAGACTATAGGGCAGATTTTGTCACAACTTGATGATGTAAGGATTTTAGTTTCCTTAATACTAGGTCAGGAGTGATACGGATGTTCCCTAAGCCGTCAGCTGGCATTGGGTGGGCGTAATACTCTGAACATGTAGGAGATTGCGAGGTACCTTATGGAAATCCCTTTTTTATATCAAAATACAACACTATTACTAGTTGCTTTTGATCGCGTATGCTGGTAACCTCATTAAAGAAATCCAACAGTCATGTGATACATGACCTAGTTATAATGAAGCCATGTTGTGAGTGGTCAACGTGACCTTCCCGGAGTAAGTGGTCAGATAGTTGAACTTTTATCACTTTCTCCATTACACGTGATATAAATGGGGTGATATTAATCAGTCTGTAGTGTCTTTCGGTCCAGATTTATGTACTGGGACAATATGAGTCAACCTACACGATTCAGGGCATATACTAGACTCTAGGAACAATGCAAAAATTTTGAGCAAAAGCACTGGAAAGTTTGGTCCTGCCATTTTAAAAAGTATCGAAGGTATCTCATCCGCACCACAGCTGCCAATGGGTTAGAGGGTTTTAATGGCGGTTTGAATATTGCTCAGATCAAATTTGATGGTACAAAGATTATACATACTGCTACAGTTAAAGTTAGTATCAGGGGTTGGAGATGTGTTCAGACTGAGGGAGAACCATGTACTAAATAGTTCACAAATAATAGCTTCGTCATAAAAAGTCTGTCAGTCATGTAATATAGAATGAATTTTCCGATTTGAGTTTTTTTATGTGTTTGTTAAGCAAACGAGAGAGGTTTTGGGACTCACACTCAGTAGTGAGAGCATTATTTTCCTCGATTTGCTTACACACTTTATGTTGGCTTTTCACACTTTCAAGTACAGTGTAGATTTGGTACATGATGTTGAAGTACTTAGATTTGCAATATGCCCGTTTTAGTTGACGTAGTTTAGACCTAACTTTATGGGTGATATAAGGAGTATCCGTTTTGAAAGACGTTTTGAGTGGGATAGTCGTGTCTAGAGCAGATTTAATGATGACATTGTATATATGTAATGCATCAGAGAGTTCAAGACTAGAAAAAAGCGCAGTCCAGTCGGAGTGCTCAATTAGAAACCGGAAGCTGTCCCAGTCAGCATGTTTATAGTCTCTGTATTGAAAAATCTTTACTGTTTCAGATTTGTCGCATTTAGCAAAAAACGGTAGGATACAGAGTACAATTTTATGGTCACTGTTGTGTAACGTTTCTCAGACAGCCACAGATGTTGGGCTGACATCGTGACAAAATACCAAATCGAGAATGTTGTGGTTTCTAGTAGGCAGGTGCACATGTTGTTGTCAACCATGCATCTGTTGGGTCAAGACCTCCGATTACGACTGTTTTCTTTTCTCTTTCTAACCCCTTCTTCTTTCCTCTTCTTTTTCAGGACCGTTGTGGCCCACTAATGAGAGCACATGTGGAACACACCGCTTCGTCCTACACCTGATGTTTCCAGAGACTAATATCTGTTTTTAGCAGAAACAGGTTACATTTTTTCTGAGGAGAGTAATCTGTAGACGATCCTTATAAAGCTACTCCAACTCTTGTTACAAACTGATCTAGACATAGCTTGAAGCAATTCTCGACTAACGATATATTTGCATGCTGTAAATGGGGTCGCGTAGGGCTGTTGAGGATTGGATAGAACGCTCTACTATCAAGCTGGCCAAAGATGTAATCCTGTGCTATTATAGCAAGGTTTGCTCGAAAATCGCTTTTATCACATATAACGTAAGACTTGAGATCACAGAATTCCAAAAACTCCCAAATCTTTTTCAGCTCGAGACGCTTCTATAGAGGAAGCACATAACTTCTGTGTTAAGCTGCAGCATGTCTAAGGTGAATTGCTTCACCTTTTGAAGCATCGAAAGTAAGTCTGTTGTTTGTGAAGTGGGACGGTATCGAACTGTTTATCCACCGAGTTGCTGACGTTTCCGAATAATTCCACAACTTCAGATTTAATCGACCATTTCTACATGGGTAAAACTGCAGTTTACGAGTCCAGGTAATCCCGATTTGTGAGAGATGTACAATTATGAACTTAATATTTTCGATTCTTGTCTTACTGGTATCTCGCTATTCATTGACCCCGGGTGTGAGTTCTGGTTTCTTTTTTCCCAAATAGACTATACATATCATGTTCTTTGATTGGTAACTAACGGAATTACTTCTAATCATACTTATAATATATTCTTAGAGAGATGCATTTCTAGATGACATCAGGAAACGACATCCTTCTTTAATGAATGTCTGCAGTTACATCCGAGTAAGCCAAAGTCAGCTAATTCCCACCAAGTGTTTTCGGCTTATGATTGATGTTTGGGATTGCAACTAATCAGTCTGTTAATTCGTTTATCAAATTTCTTGAAAATCCATTCTTGGAAACAGATGAATTCGTAATATGTTAATGGAATTTTCAAAACTAACTGAAAACTCCAAAAGTAACCAATTCAAATGCTCCTTGTGTTTCTCAAAGACCAATGATAATCTAAAATATCTGGGGGTCGCTTTCATCTACATGTAACAGTTAAGCATCACCAGACTCTCAGACGGTTAATGTATATATCTTCTGCACATGATCATAAGAAAAGCTTAGGAAACTAGTGACTCTGCCAGAAATGCCTAGGTGACAGTTGTCAAACTGTACTGTGTAAATACCCAGTGCCACAAATGCAAGATTTCATGAAAGGCCTACAAAGTTTGACTGTATTTACTTAAATTTACTCAAGAAGATACGCATTTCAAGATATTCATTGACTGAGAGAGGTCCTCAAACATTTATTATCATATCTTCTTGATTATCTGAGTTGTTTTAAAGCTGTTTTACTATAGGGTGCATGATATCTCTTGTTCGTATTAACGTGCTAACACTGGGTCCTTGCAAGTCATTCTAGTTTTATGTGCGAACATAGTTTGAAATTATTCAAACGTTTGGTTTATATTAGTTATTTCGGGTGACGTCTTAGTAGGTAAAATGAAGTAATATCATGTCATACCTTCAACATTTGAGTGTGCTGCAACTAAGTGTTTTTGGCGGGCACCTCAGGGTCACATTTGGCTCGCTTTCAAGCGGTCTCATTTTTAAATAATGACTGCTGAAGTCGAGGTTAACCCATTTAGACCTGGTGGTGAGCTTTCCAAGGAAGTAGAAGATATCTTGAAAAACTCCACAATTTCGAGGGATACTGTAAGCCTCCTGGTTTTTTTCCACATAAATTAAATATATTCTTGTCATCTGGAGCCACCCTTTAATAAGCTTGACTGTTGTGTTAAACTGTCATAAAATGTTTTTGTGCAAGTCCTACAATAAACGCGAGTCAGCCCTAATATCGTCAGCACGGTCTAAAGTTTTCCATGGCGTTCCATTGATTTTGATGAAATAACGAACTTATTGGTAGTAATAATATAATCACAACCTATCCTGTCAATAAAAAATTTCCCTCCTCTAGTACTCAAGGAGTTACGCATAATAATTAACTGGGTTACATCGCTTCTCACAGCGATTAATTTACCCCATTTTTTTGGTTAACCGTAGGTCCCCACATATGTATTCAATTTAACCCTAAAACATATGTACCTTGAAAACATATTAGTTGATTGACATCCACGATACAGTCCTTTAGAAAATCGGATAAAACCTATCCATCCTCCTTGTCTTTAGTAAGGAAGCCGCAAATAAATATCTGCAAGTTTACCAGAGACCCTAATTAGCGTAGGTTAAACGAGAATTTTGTGTCAAGGTCTAGGATTTGTGTGTCTTTAACGCACGAAATCGAAGTACCATAAATAGTTGGAGTGACCTACGTGTTAGACAACTTTATACATATACAAACTAAATAGCAATGCAAGCTTGTTACAAAGTGGAGTTTCACATTTTAAACCTAGAAAGTTTCAACAAACTTGTTTAATTCCCCCCAGACTATCCAGAAGATTCTACGCCTTATTTCTCCGAAAATGTTCTACTTACGTTTAGTGACAGTTCCTCACCATCGTTTTACAGCCACAGATTTAATCTTTTAACCTTTTTCGTTCCTATGAGATTTGATTCATGCTTGATTAAAGATTATCATTCAAATCTACCTACTTCAGTTTGATAGATATTGTTATTTAAAGGTAATGTGTGTTGATTAGTTTACTGTACAAAAATAGTCTGCGACAGAATACATCCTTGTTTTCTAATTTCGCTACGCTGAATATCTAATCTTCTTATCACCGGTTTGAACTCATTCCTTTATTTTATGTTTGGTGGCTTGGCTATATCTCAATTGTGTATTAAAAACCAGCATCCGAACTATGTGAAGTGCGTTTTTCAGAATAGCCGATGTTCGTTATTCACCAGAAATCTATTTAGATGATACATAAGATAACGGGTTCATTTGTACGTCTGTCTGTACCTTGTATTTAGTAGCTTTATTAAACTGAGGGTTATAAAAATGGTAGCTACTAAAGCAACTCATTCACCGAATACATCTATGTCTACTCTTTTAGACAACACTTTGTAAAGAGTGTTGGTTCTAATGGGCTGCACTACAGCCTGAAAAGTTTTTTAGTATTACCAGCTCTCACAAAACTTCTGAACGTTGAATATATGAGTTTCCATATGGTTGCCAAATTGCAATTTAAGATTATAGCGTGGTTTTAGTCCCGCATACTTTTTTTTACCTGATTGCTTTTCAGATAATTATCAATGATCCTGCTTTGCGTCGCGCCAACGGAAATACTACATCTGTAGATGGGATTATATCTAATAATGTTCACACGAAATGTGCAGAATCACCTTTTAAATCCCAGACGTCTAATGGTCTCAGTATTACTGATCGTTCTCCACATCCACCTGGTCTAGTAACGTGCGAGGTGGTATCTCAGCATGTACAACCAATTCAAAGTCCAGCAACATTTCAGTCTGGTCAAGTTGAACATGTTAATATAAAGAGTAGTAGGAAGCCTACTAAGTGTTGTGTACTTCAGTGAAGCTAGCTAACACAAGTAAACACTGTGAGTTCATCATGAATTCTGATATTTATAGACTTTTATAACCCTTCCTTCCTTTTGAGGAGGCAGCATCGCTGCAGATGCTGGTTATCCGAGGGAAACACCGTACTGCTGTCACACCTGTCTTCAGTCAGCAGTACGACTTCGCTCTCAGACCTTGAGTTTCTGCTTTTAGTCTTATCATTCTTTAATCGACCTGCCTGGCATGATAGAACCTTCAGAAGCATGTGTTCCAGCCAACATATCTCGGTTGGGTCATCACGATAGTCAAGCCCGACCACCACTTCAAGGTAACAGCTACGGTCGGGAAGTCCATATTAGTGTATCAGGTTTTAAATTATGTATTTTAAAAGACCATTTAATAACGTGTACAACATTGCAACTCCACCAGCATTTTGACGCTGCTTTTTTCATTAACAACTTTTTTATTTGTCGGAAATTTTATAATACCTTAAGTCGGTATTTTGTTTAAACGATAGCTTCATTTCCAAATGTATACTTAATCAGTTAGCCATTGGTCTTCGTAACCATTCATAAGGAAGTCGAGTCTAGCTTATATCAACAAATTGTCTATTTGTCGAGTTCAGTCATTCGAATATTATATGAATGTGTTCTGTCGTCGTAATATGACTATAGTGGTTTAAATGTGCGAACTGATGAACCTAATTACTGTTTCATTAGTTATTATAATTTCATATCCTAACAAGTGAATAAAGTTTAATCGTACTGCCTTTATTTTGCCTTTGGTTTTAGATCCCGTTGACAATCTGGTGAAACAACTATCTTGCCAAAAATACCACTGTATGCTATTCTCTACAGTTGTACCTTTATCTTCCCAAACTTGTTATTTTATTGAGTGTTTTCTTTCACCTGCTTTCAGATGAAGTAGCATGTCGAATCTCCTTAAGAACATTTAGAAATTATATATGTACACAGTCTTCCTATTTGAATTTTGATTCCTTTTTCCAAGAATCCAATTAAAACAAACTTTAAATTGTCCGGTTTTCACAAGTAAAACAAATTACATTTTAATTCACATACTTTCCCCATGTCCAGACTTTAGAAATCTTAAATGAACCGCTAGAAATTACTTCCGCCTCCTCTGTTATATGTTGCTTTTGTTAATGAGCTTTTCGTATTTATAAACATTCAATCTAATTCACCCATTACAAGTGAATATTAACGGGAATCCTAAAATCAGGACTTTTCTTCAAGTGCAATTTCATATGATTTAGGTGTATTCAGATGAATGAATAATATGACTTAAGAAGCATTTCTTTATTATTGTTTGCTTATAGCTCTGTTTAGTCGATTCTGTTTTGTTAAGTTTACTGTTTTCGATTCAAATAAAGAAACGTGATTTGATTGCTTCTTTTAGATAGTGCATCACTTTTCACTCAATTTAAATACTGAGTATGATGGTTTAGTTTGTTGCATGTACTAACAGTTTCATACATATATATGAAAGTGCATACGAGCTTTCTTTGTTCCGCATATTTTTGGACCCACATATTTGCACATAAAATACCATGAAGCTTTTTTTTCACAATTGAATCGGACAGTTTAAAGATGACCATTCAGTGTTATTTTACTCCCATATTGTCAAGTAACTTTTACACATGTTTATTCGCTAATACCGCTCTTCATTCTGTACAATTTGTAAAATCTCCTTACTATTGATCATAATATGTGTTTAAATCTACGTTCGGCTAAAACTTGTATTCTGTTTTAATCACTTTCAGTATTATTACTTTGTATTTAAGCTGTTTTGTTTCTTGATTTTTAATTCCGTCTGCTTCTAATAAAGTTGACATGAGAATTACTATAATAGTGAGTTTTTTTGAGTTCATTTTTAAAATCCTATTATGAGTTAGATTTTATATCTGAGCGCTTCATTTGGTTTGATCATCTACTCACCGTTATCAACCCTCGGACATAAATTTGTCACTCAAATTCAAGTACACAAACCTCTATTTGATTTTCGTTTGTGTCTGCGATTGAATTTCATCAAAATACTATCAGAGATAAGCCTCATAATGAGTGTTATTATTTTAAGAGTATTAAGTAGTAGTCGCATTTTGTATGTAGTCACATATTTGATAAATAGGCTTCAAGGATCAAATGTATGTGACTTCATAAAGGCTTGTTTTGGCTCTAGTCTTACAATGCTTCGTGTTAATGTTTTGTCCATAAGTTGATAGACTATTGGATTGTTCAGGAACTACAATTAAGATATATTTATTGTACGTGGTTAAAAATCTGTCTAGGAAAACCTATTTTATGCTTCTATATATTTTTTGATTGTATTTGGGAAATTACGTGATATGGTTAGTAATAATGAGTGGTAGCTTGTTATCTGCTCATCTGTGTTTTACTTTTAATCTATAACGTTACCAAAACTTATCTTAGGACTATTTTATTTTCATTTAACAACCATATTGAACTCGTTTCCCTTTGTCTATGCGATATTCCCGAAGGGATATTTATAGATATCCATTATGTAGTTAGACCTATAGTTTCTATGTCCTACTATAAAACGTTATCGTTAGACGTTATGCTATTTACTATTTATTCAGGTAATATTGTGTGGATGACATACTTTGCGATTGCTAAAAATACTAATTGGTACTAGTCAGGAGTAATTTGATAATACACGTGTCGGGTTCTGCGTCATATGTGCTAATTCACCAAATTATTGTAATTAAATTACATTGTTCACAATCTACCTGATGATATATGAAAAGCAAGATTTGTTGAAGTAACTATTACTCACCCTTCGAAATAATCGTAAACATCAATTAGTTATTTTCAAATTCCCGAAAGGTATATCAATTCAAGGAGAAAACTGATTATAAATGTAGACTAGGATGTTATATTCCTGCAGATTCGTTTGTTAGTAGAAGTCAGAAACTGTTTTTTGACTAAGGAAGACCAGTTAATTTGTGACATCATCTGACCGTTTCTGGAAAAAGTCTATCTTGCATCAGCAGTGTTTTCACCACTTTCTGGAGTCAAGGAAAAATGTTTTGGTCGATTACGAATCAAACTATGCGTAATTCAGCGATGGAAATGGTATTTTTCCCCATAGTTAGACGTTAGCTATGGAAACTTTGACTATTAATATGTGATAAAACAGTGACTTCTTATCATAGTCTTAAAACTATATCCAAAAATATCACATCTTATACTAATTGTTGAATGCTAGATGTGTACAGTTGTTGATAAATTTAATTGGCTCTACAATATTATTGAACGCATGAAATCACTGGTTTGTCTCCATGTTTACTAGTCGTTCGTGGATTAGTCTGTTCTTTGAGAGAGTTCTAACGTATATTTGAAATGTATGATTTTCTAATGACCAGACATAAACATGTATTGAGTAGTCTTGACTTTTTATTGGTCTGTATATACTAATTGTAGGGATTTCTGCTAGGTTGCAAAGGGGATTCTCGAAACTTTTTTTAACTGATTGGGTGTGATTAGGAATCATGGATTATCTTCCTAGGTACATACTTCTAAAAATGATTCTTCAAGTTAGCATAGTCGAGCAAAAAAGATCAATACAGATTAGAATATCTAGAAGGCAATAAAACTGGTTCCCAGAAATATTAAGGCTGCTATGAGATCTGTTAGCTCACTTTTCACACTTCAGTTATGTTGGTAGGAAGAATAATGAAATCTTCAATGATGCTGATTCATCGTTCAAACTGCCATGACTTTATTCTTCATAAATTTGTTCAGATCTGTTGCTAGTCTTCCTTTAGAGCTCCTATCATAATGTCTGGATCTTGAATAATATGAAACCATGTTATCAAATTTTCATGAACTTTACTTCAACAGCAAGGCGTGCAGCAATTGATAAAATAGTATCTCTAAACGATCCCGTAGGCTAATGTGTTTATCAGCACTTTCAAATAAGCTATTCTGATAACTGAAGGAAATTTGTGTATCAATAAAATCCCAAGGCTATTTCCTATTTTTTGTAGACTTGCTCATGGCATATAGTAAATTAACTGGTAATAATAATGAGTATGAGAATTCGTAAGCGAATACAATCTTTTTCATATGGATTCTTATGCCAAGTTCTAATTTTAGGCTATACTGCCAAAAACGTATTACCTAGTTAGGATAACATGGAGTCTAATCGATCATATTTATTGATTAAAAAGAATATTACTTTGTTTTGCAAACTATTTTTAATGAATAACTTTGATTCAATCGTTAAATGGATATGAATCAAATGTCTTATTTATAGAAAGAAATGAATTTTCTAATCATTCATGGCTTTATTTTCCATTTTCATGTATAGTATCAGGCTTTTTAAGTCACTCACTATTAGTGTGTTCCAAATAAACTATGATTACCTGATGAAAATACTTTTAAAATAGTGTTTCTATTAGAGCCTTGTAATTAAATCACTTAGTTTACAAGCAATAAATCACAAGTTAGAATCGTGCTGCAACTACTTTTTTTTTTATGGTCAACTGAAACGTTTCATTATCCGTTCTATAAAAACTTCTAATCGTCTACATGACACTCGTATTTCATAGATGATTTATATACATTTTAATGCCTTAATTTGATGATTTGAAAATTGAAAGGAAATTATATTCTTATTATTCTTGTTATTTAAATAGTTGAATAAAGAAGTTATATTTTTACAATCTATAGCTATTATGATTGAATACTATGAAGATTCATTTGCATGTTCTATTTAATCAATAAAATATATGGTGTTGAAGTTCCCGATGTAATAAACAGGTAACTTCGATCTTCAGCTTCTCATAGTCTAGATTCATAGGTTTCCGATAACTCTGAATAAAATCAAAAACACAAGTACCGACTATTGACGATTCGAATATATCATTTTTCAAAATAAAAAGTCTTGTTCTTTTTTTTTTAAAAAAAATCGACTGAAAGTTTGTTCTGCTTTTGTTATTTTAATGAAACATTTGACAGTAAAATCAACAGTTTTATTTAATTTGTTTCAACTGTTACCACCATATTTTTATTCTTGTCAATTGAGTTGAAAACTTACTTACTTACGCCTGTTACTCCCAAGGGAGCATAGGCCGCCCACCAGTTTTCTCCAACCAACTCTGTCCTGGGCTTCGCTTTCCAATTCTGTCCAATGTTTGTTCAATCTTCTCATATTTTTCTCTATTTCTCGGCGTAATGTGTTCTTTGGCCGTGCTCTTTGGTTTTTCTTCCCGAGTCATTTTGCATTTTTGTTTATATATTTTTTTATCTGTAATTATTTTCCTGTTCAAAAAATACGCGAAGAGTACAAAGATAATTTCATTATTGGATTTAAACAATTAAAACAGAACTAATGTTTAAGTGATGATGAGGTTTTTTATTTGTAGAATAAAATAATTAAGACATATATATATATATATATTCGCTAAAGTCAATATGATAACATTCAGAAACATATTCATGAACCAAGTAATGAAGAGAAAATCAGAAGATACATCATATTTATGCAACAGTCATCATGATATTTATTTAAATTAGTCGAATAACGTTTGGTTTGGTTGTTAATAACTGATGAGTAAAATACTTTCGTTACATAGTTGATTGAATATAAAACGAATAGAGTACAACATGACCATTGGAGTTCAACTCAGTTGGGTGTAGGCAGTAACTATCAGAGACAAATGGTTGAGTCGCGCAACATCTCTAGACGGATCAGAGTTAGGCATTAACACCACTGGATGCCGGTCCTGTGGTCGAATCCTGTGAGATGCAGCAATCGTGGATGTGCACTGCTGATGAGTCTCATACCATGACGATCTTACTGTTCTGAATTTACCTAACGGTAAGCAAATATCTATGCGTATATTCGCATATATTTTCTCAATGGAATCTACCAATTGGTTAG